GTGAGCTCACGTCCACCCAGTTACGACGTTGGTGTGAGGAGCGTGGAATCTACAGGACATACACCGACGGGGATGGATGGAAGTCGAACGGTCGTGTGGAGAGCGAGATTGCCGTTCTCAAGAGGGGCATCAAAACCCTTCTTGACAGTGCTGGGCTTGATGTTAAGTTTTGGCCCCTAGCTGCCAGGCACTATGCAGAGCGACGATGGCGGATGCAGCTTCAAGCTATGTGCTACCCGGTGGAATCGTTGAAGGTGTTTGGAAGTTCAGGTTGGGCCAAGATCAAGAGGTGGGAGGATCAAGGGAACGCGTGGAGGCTGTCGAGGAAACAGGTCCGAGTGATGGGACCGGATGCCACCATGTCACCGTCCTCTCAAGGTTATTACGTGATGGATGATCAAGAAAAATTCTTTCACTCAGCCGACCTAGTTCAAGGAGCTGAACCACCCCCTCTGGAGGATGATGCCTTGCCGGAGTTGGTGGAGCCAGGGAGAGACCCTGCTGAGGCTGGGGGGAGGTCAAGGAGGAGGATCTCAGGAAAGAAGAGTCCAGAGGAGATAGCCGCCCGGAAGCTTCAGCTGGAGGAGGAAGTTTTTGAAGGTCGGGAGTTGGAAAGGGGGGAGTTCCAGCGTTTAGGTAACATGGAGGAAGGTTGGGAGGTAGTTTACCAAAATGCTTTGGAGCTCACTCAGGAAAATCTCAGCCTAGAGGATGAACTGAGATGGTTGGAGAGACTTGAGGTTGAACAAAAGATAGAAGACGTGTCAGAGGCCGCAGCACAAGAAGAGGCAGTGTTGCAGACCAAAACCATTCCTCTAACAGAAGTCAGGAGAGATCTGACGCGGTGGAGAGGAGCCATACAGGAGGAATATGACTCTCTCACCAAGACTGGCTCTCTTCGTCCCATTTCATCCCAAGAGGCTGAGGAGTTGCGATGTATGGCGGAACAGAAGGGCATTCCCTATGACCGTTTGCCTGGGAAGGCTGTTTTCACCAAGAAGGCGCCTAGCGGCAAGCTGAAGTGTCGAGGAGTCGCCTGTGGGAATTTCATGGCGGATCGTCCCGCTTCTGAAACCTATGCTGGTGGCATAGATGCCACTCAGGTGCGATCAGTGCTTTGTGCAGCGGTTCAACGTTCTTGGTGCATTGCAGGAACAGATATAAAGACTGCTTTTCTCCAAGTACCCGCTGGAAGAGACAAGGATGTCATCATCATCCAGCCCCCTGCCATCTTTGCTGAGGCCGGCGTCATCAGCCCTCAAGAGCTTTGGCATGTGAATGGAAACATTTACGGTCTGACTACCTCTCCTCGAGATTGGTCAGACCATCGTGACGTGGTCCTGAAGTCTCTAGAGTGGCATTCAGAAGGGAAGAGATGTTGGCTTCAAAAGACTAGAGAGGAGAATTTGTGGAGGATCAAGTGTTGTCAAGGTGAAGCTGATCAGACAGTGGGTCATCTGGCCGTCTACATTGACGATTTGCTGGCGACGGGAGAGAAGGAGGTTTTGAAGCCCTTTTTTGATCGTGTTGGTCAAGAGTGGACCATCAGTGAGCCGGACTGGTGTGAGGAAGATTCCGCTTTGAGATTTTGTGGGTTGGAGGTTGATCGAAGAGGTGAGGGAATTTTGATTCATCAAGAATCATACATCAGAGATCTTCTCCATCGACATGGAACACAAGGAAGTTCCACTATGAGTACAGTAGCTGTCCCCGAAGATGAGGGAGAGCCTTGTCCTAGTGACGTCAAAAGAGCACAGATCGTCACGGGTGAGTTATTATGGGTGGCAACTCGATCCCGTCCTGAGATCTCGTTTCCAGTAGCTCTAATGTGTCAATGGGCAGTGAGGAGACCAAAGGGAACTATCCGTATTGGAGAGGAAGTACGGAAGTATCTCAATAGCACGAAAGGAGAAGGTTTGTTTTATCAGCCCTTGAAGGATGGCGATCATGGAAAGACTGGACATCACCAGCGTGAAAGAAAGAGAGAAGTGGTGGAGGTCTACTGCGATGCCTCTTTTGGCTCCCAGGAGTACAAATCCACTAGCGGCTTCGCGGCTTTCTATGCAGGGTGCCCAGTTTTTTGGCTGACTGTTCGTCAGCCCTTCATAGCGCTTTCAACTGCAGAAGCAGAGTTGCTGTCACTGATGGATGGAGTTGCCGCCACGAGAGGAGTCTCCAGTTTAGTTGAGGAACTGGAGGAGAAGGGAGGGGAAAAAAGACTCTTCAGCGATTCAAGTGCAGCTATCTCCATTGTGAATGGCAGCTCTGGCAGCTGGCGCACGAGACATTTGCGTCTTAGAGCCAGCGCCCTCACAGAAGCAGTGCGCAACAAGGAGTTTCTGCTGCAGCACTATCCAGGTCAGTTTTTGGTTGCTGATGGCTTCACGAAGCAGCTTTCATCATCTCTTTTCCGAAGATTCAAGGAGGGTTTGAATCTGGTTGGCTCAGGTGAGAAGAATGCTGAAGGAGGTGTAGTCAGAAAGTTATTACGACTGGATGGTGAGAAGGTAGAGAAGGTAGCAGCAGCATTGGTTGGGTTGGGAAGTTTTGCCAATCTACCAGTCGCAGAAGCAGTAGATTCAAAGGCGTCTGAGGAAGGGTGGGATTGGTTTCCACTCATACTTCTGGGTCTTGCGATGTGTCTTGTCAAGCTGGTGGAGGTCATCGGGAGAGAAGGTTGGAGGATGATCAGAGGAAGAGATGACATTCAGGTAGAGAGGCTCAGGGGACAGGCCCAGTTGCCGAGGAGGACGGAGGAGAAAGAGGGTGGATGGTGCATCTATCCCTGCGAGGAGAAGGTTGTCAATCCAGGTGAGCATGCGCTGGTGAGGACGGGGCTGAGGATCCGGGTGCCACGTTCCACACAGGGAAGGTTCACCACTTGTCTGGATGTCTTGAGGAAGGGTGGAGAGGTCGGAGAAGGAATCATTTCTCCAGATTTTGGGGAGGAGGTCAAGATTTTGCTGAAGAATTCCAGCCAAGAGCCTTTTACTGTTGGCCCTGGAACTGTGGTGGCGCATCTTCAGGTGTTTCAATGTGTGAAGGCTGAGGTCAAGGAGGTTCAATCACAGGCTTCTGAAATCGGTATCTCTCCATCAATCCAATCTCTACGAGTTCAAGCATCCAGCTCCACTACCAGAACCGAGAAACCATGTTTGACGTGGGAAAAGGTTTGGAAAGGAACCAATTTTTCTTCTATGGAACGTCTTATTTTGGCCAAGAAAAGTGAATTTCCAGAGTGGCTCCAAAAAGGAAACCATCTGGAGGGTTTGTGTCGGAAACCTTGCACAGCTGGCACAGATCTGTGGAAGTGCTCTGAGTCATCCGAGAATCCAATTGTCATCAGAGAGCACCGAAAAGAACGAATCAAGCATTACGTTAGCCGAGATGAAGATGTTTCCAATAGACCAACCATGACATTTGCCTGGCATCAGTCTGGGTATTTCCAAATCATTTATAGCCACAAGCCAGTTGCGACAGAACTTGCATCTCCTTGGACTGGTTTCACAGTCTGCGAATGGGGCTTGAGTCCAGGAGTGCCACGTGTGGCACTGGGGGAGCGTTGAAATACCAATGTTTCCAGCATATCAGCGGTTGCACAAATCAGAAGTGTAACGCTTGCATCAGCAGTTGCACAAATCAGAAGTGTGACATTTGCATCAGCAGTTGCACAAATCAGAAGTGTGACATTTGCATCAGCACTTGCACAAATCAGAAGTGTAACATTTGCATCGGCAGTTGCACAAATCAGAAGTGTAACGTTTGCATCGGCAGTTGCACAAATCAGAAGTGTGACATTTGCATCAGCACTTGCACAAATCAGAAGTGTAACATTTGCATCGGCAGTTGCACAAATCAGAAGTGTAACGTTTGCATCGGCAGTTGCACAAATCAGAAGTGTGACATTTGCATCAGCACTTGCACAAATCAGAAGTGTAACATTTGCATCGGCAGTTGCACAAATCAGAAGTGTAACCTTTTCACTGTGGGCATTGAGCATGCAGCCCTTTTTGTGCGCAAGGGAAAAACCAGGTGTGGCTTTTGCATTTGGAGTTCTGTGAAAACTATCCATCGGGCTCAACCCAGTCAAATCCTGGGGTTTCCGGTGAGAGCTGTCAAGACGCTGAGGGCTGCTAGGAGAAGCACCTTGTTGACTACCTCGGAAGGACTCACTGCAAGTGAACCAGGATCTGATTGTTGTGGAATCTCAGTATAGCCATCAGGACGCGGTGAGGTTTGATCAGCTTCGCCACCATCTTGCGGCACATCATCATCCTCATTGTTGTCAGCTGATCCAACACCACGCCAAGCACCGCAACGGTCTTGCCACCAAGACTGTGGCCGCTGACCGTCGTAGCTGTCTGAAGTCAAACCAGTAATCTCAGGCAAATCAAAAGCACGCTGAGAGGGATCACGGCCCTCTCGCTCTTCTTTCAGCTGAATCAAAGCTTCTTGAAATTCTTCAAAACCCAAGGCTTCGCGCACCAGAAACTGCGCTATGGGTTCATTCACCTTTCGACGAAAACTAAAATACTCAGACATGGTTGAAGCAGCATTTGGACGTAAGCGTCTCACCAGAGGCGATGCTGCAAAGCACTGCAACATCTTTGCAACACCTCGCTCACACTGTCGCCAACTCATAGAAAGTAGCCTTGCAGGGCCAGAAAGTCGAGTGATCAACTTCGCTGCAGCATACTGTCGTTGGTCGGCCTTGGTGCCACTTACAAACCAGGACACTTCTATGCAGTATCTTCGCCATGCCCTTGAACTTCCATCCCATGACGGGATATAGCTATCAGGCTTATCATGTCCAGATTGCATCCCAAACTCACCAGGTCAGAGGCACAGTGGAGCGGATCAGGCAATGGGCACGGTCTTGGAGCGAACCGTGCTCCGCTACCAATGCAACTGGTAGCTTTGGGGAGCAGTTGGACCAATTCAGTTGAAGAGATCAACTTCCAAGACCCGTCCGCGGTCTGAGAAGAAGAGTCTCAAGCAAGTCAGTTGCTAGGGCCAGTTCGAAAAGAGGCACAAGATGAATAAAATGATGTTCTTCTCACAATGGTTATGCCGACAAGCCAGCATGCACTACGATTGCCAACACGATGGCACTTTTCCACATTGGTGCGCAGCCATACGACGCAAGGGGCCCCTTCGGACCGACACAGCAGCAGCACGGACATGAGTTCACCTGTGCAGGTCAAGCATGCATGGGATGAAATCACATGAATTGCAGTATGTCCCATGAAAGCCTTCGTTTGGATCCGGGGCGTTTTCATCATATCCCAGGGGTTAGTTACCCAAACCCATCCAAAGCCATCCGACTCAATCGGTCCTTTGTCGCCTTCCTTCACCTCGCGCTTCTCCTCCCGCCTGCGCTCGGCACGTGGCGCGGGCGGCTCGGGCCGCGTGGGCGGCTCCAGCTCTGCGGGACGATCCCACTGGGTGAGGCCCGTCTTGGCGTTGTAATAATACTTGGTGCCCTCAGCATCCGCAAACTCCTGGCGACTTGCTGCTTGATGTTGGTTTATGCGGGCATAAACTTCAGGTAAACCATGCAAATTCGCAACATGCTGTCCGGTTCGCTAAATCGTTTGTTAGATCATTTATTCAACCGCCATCAGCGCCACGCCTGCCACAGCGGCGGCATCTCGAAATGCCACGGCGGTGGTGGCGGCGGCGGTACCCCGTAACTCTGAAAGTCATAGAGGCCACTGGGCTGGAAATCCTGAGAGATTGAAATCAGGGACAACCGGATGAAACACCGGAATGTGCAACCATGATGTGTGTGTATACATATATACACATGTATATCGTATACATACATGAAGTTGTCGTCTCCGGCACCCATTTTTTTATTTTTGCGGAAAGGTTGATCTATCTTCTGACCACACCTCATGGGCTCACTTTGGAAAGATATGGGATGCTCCTGAGACATACATGAGCTTTCACAGGCCCAATTTTTGGTTTATCTCCGCTGCCATCGTTGCCATACTTTGTTGGTGAAAGGCAAATTTTGGCGATTCTTGACCAACCCTGCTTGGTAAATCATTTGTTGCACTCGGAACATTCATTGTGACAATCTGGCCTTCATTACATCTCAACTTGCTGGTTGTGATGAAAATAATAAATACTTGTTAGTACTGCGAAGTTATTGACATGGGTCCAGAACCTCATTCCTACTCTAATTACTTGCTTCTTGGCTCAAAGATGCAACAATATTAACAGATTCCAGCAATGAACAAAGCTACAAGAAACACATACCCACCCTGTCGGTCAAATTAGCGTAGCCAACAAGCGCTCTGTTAGTGAGCTGATGCCCAGTCTCTGGAGCATTGCTGCTCAGCTGACTTCGAATGGCATGTTCCTCCTATTGCAGCGGCCCCCTGCCCCCAGTGACTTTGAGTGACTTTGATGGAAATCCACGTGCAAAATATCATGCAATGGGGGTGAAATAATCGATCAACAAGCGGACGCATGGCCAATTCTTGTACAAAACGTCGAAGTTGAAACTTTTTCATCAGTGCCCAAAGGGAACTTTCGCGCAAACGTACGCCAGGAAAGTAAGCAGCTCCATGGGCATGACATCCGCATGCACATTGTTCACCCCAATCTTTGTTTGGTTAACACCCATCTTCTGTTGGTTCATGTGTCCCACGTTTTACACCATCTCTAGTGGTGAAGAACCATGCATTCATGTGACTTGGGTTTGCATCCCAATCGGCAACGGGGCAGCAGCAAGATCGTTTTTTCCCTGAAAATAGCCACAATTCAAACGGCAAATTTGCTCAATAACACGTGGGATGCATTGTGGATACAATCTCTATAGGCTGTGGATATTTCTGTCTAATGCCAACACCGGATTAATAAACCCCCCCCAGAAGGTAGGTAGGTACCTTCTGGCTAGTTTTCTTGACAACCCCTAAATAAACGCACCCTGAACCATAAAATTCTGAACCATAAAACTTTGGATATGGCTTACGTCAATTAGATCTTAATAGAATTCCATTGGATTTGTTAAAATCTCATGGATCAGAAAGGGGGTTGATTAATCAGGGGCAAACCGTGGTTATTATTAATGGGGGACATGGGCTCATGGGGGGTACCCTTTGGGAGCTATCCAAACTGATGATTTTCATAAAGATTGTAATTAGAAATCGATCATTTGGGGAATAGTTGTTTTTTGAAATTTTCAATGATCAACTTAAACCTTAAGTATAACAATGATGATGAAAATAAATTAAAAAATGGAAATAAAAGGAATTGGAAATAAAAATTGCTGGATAAAAAAAATGGATTTCAGAATTGGTGGTTGATTAATCGGGGGTAGGCCAAAACAATTATTAATCATGGGGGACCATCTGTTTTTAAATTACATTTTTTTCTTTGGGGCAGTTGCTGTTGATTAATCGGGGGGGCATTATTAATCCTCACTTGGCATTATTTGCTTTCCGTTTGTTGGACGTGGGCCCCGAAAGTGTAACTTTCGTTTGGGCACCCAATTGGGGACAGGTCCAAAACCTGCGACCCCATCGAAATGCCAATGGACGTGCCCTCGGGAAAATGGAGCGCTCCTCGGAACGGTCCTTGCCGCCTTTCCACTTCTCCTGATGCGAAAAGACACTATGGACTTTCATGGCGAAAACAGATGATGAGAAATGGGGATCTTGTTGGGACCTTAATGAATTTTCGCATACAAACCAACCGACTGCTTCAACAAAAAATATCTACTGGAAAGCAAGGTTTTGACCTCCAGAAAAGGGTCTTTCCCGTAAATGAATTCTAGCAATCAAGCCCTCTTTTTATATTCAACAGATATGAAAGAGCTGCCCTGCACCATACTTTGGGACCCAGCCGTCTGAAATTAGAAGATGTTCCACAAACTATCAAGCTAATGTTTCACGTTCAAAAATTGGGAGCTTTCATCCTATTTGCGAACATGATAAGACACAGCAATGGCTATTTTCATTCAAGCATACTTGAATTATGGGGCATGTGATCCAATAAAAAGCATGATGCCAGCAGATTATGCGGCTGCAGCTATCCTTGGCGCCAAAAGGCTTCGAAAAGTGAGCTGTTCAGGTAGACGGCGGACATTTGTGAGAAGCATGGTAGTCGACTCTCAAGTGCCCCCAAATCTCATGTTGCCTGTTCTAGTAGGGAACGTTTGGGCTTATGGCGGGGCCAGAGATTTCACATGTTGGCAAACCCCGTTGTTGTCGCTGAAGCCAGAGGTCAATACCCGCCTGGGCACGGTCCTTGGGCACCCACTGCTGCCAGTCGCCCTTTGAAGTCTCGCGGCCTTTGGCGCCCTTCGACTTGCCATCTTTGCCGCGGCCCTTGTCTTCATCTGGCCTTAAGTCAAGGCGCGCCCCAGTTGCTATATGGTTCCTTAGATGCCCTTGAGAATGATTGTTTGGCACACATAGATATCATGATGTCCCCCAAAAAATACCGAACCCTTAAGTCGCTTATATTGTGGACTTCCGCGGCCGTTTTGGAGGGATATGTTTCTCCAGGGCCCATCACAAAGCAACTTCTCAGTTGAACACCCCAGCTCTCAACAGGTTTATCAAAGCAGGTTGAATCAGCACTTTACGAGAACATTCCGCCATGTTGACCGACAATTCCTGCAGATTGTTTGGCCAGTGCGCATTGGTCATGTAAAGACACCAGCGCCTCCTGCTGCAAACTTTGCCTGTGATAATGCCCACTTGAATAAGCCACTAAAAAGAAATCATTGTCTTACCGAATCAACAGTCATCTTTTCAAAGGTTCAGCCCAACCCAGCCCAACCCTGGCCACATCGCCGAGGCGCCACCATTTGCCTTCGCCTTTCCAGCCGCCCGAACCTTTGCCCTTGCGCCGCGGCTCCTCCCAGTCGCGTGGCGGGCCCTTGCCGCCGCCCATAGCGCAGGCGATGGTCTTTTTGCGGCGACAAAATCGGTTGATTCTAGTTTTGGTGTCGCCCCTAGTTTTGGAGGTTTGGACAAGCACCGAAAAAGATCAATGCTTTGTATAGGCAGAAACATTTCGGCGGATTGAGCCGCGACTTACGTGCTGAGGGGCTCTTCTTCTGTGAAGCTCCTAGTGGATAGCTTTGGGCATGTTTTTGGGCCAGGTTTTGCTAAAGTTTTTCCCTTCATCCCCTGCCATTGCAGCGTGCTTGGTATGTTTTTGTTTTAAATCTTGTGGACGGATTCGATGACGCAACTGAAAGCCATGCGGTGGGCGGATGCGCAGCTTGTCAACCATAAGACCACGGGAATGTTTTTTGATCAGCAAGGTCGGTGGTATCGTCATTTTGAGGTGGGGCATACCCTTGGATAGCTGGCAAATGTTTTCGAAGAGTCATATTTGAAAAGAAGACAATATTGGCTCCAACTTTGCGCGGGGTGATTCCTGCAGCCATTACATAGATGGTTCAGTGGGAATAGCAGCCCCGGCCCCTGTACAGACGATGTGGCCACTGATCGTTCAAGCCATCCGAACTTGTTCAGAGTTAGAGGCCAAGCCCCATTCCTACATATATTATACCAGATCACTGTTGCTCAACCCAAGCCCCCTTGTTCGCCGGTTAGAATCCTAGGCCCGTTGGTGCCGTGCTCGGATCTGTCAAAACATTCGGAGAATGCCGCAGGATTTTTGTCCTCTCCATCGCGTCAAAAGCCGATTCCCGCCTTGGTGCCGGGCTTGATCATCTCCAGGGCAAAGGCGGCCAAACTTTGGACCTGGCGGGCAATGGCATCCCAAAAGTTGAATATACCCATCTCATGAACAGCATACCAGTAGTACCGCACAAGGCAGTGGCGGAAGTTTCAAAAATAGGAAACCTATAGGAGACGTTGGTTGTTGTGAATCACGGATGGCAGAGCGAATCCACTGATTGACCGAAAGGTGGTTGGAGTTGTGTTTGCTGGAATGGTTGCAATGGTTGCAGTGGTCACCTCACCCACAACTGCTGGATGTAGTGTGATGTACTGCAACTGTAGTTGTAAGGTTGGTGGAGATGGATAGTTTACTGTCCCGTAGAGAGTGTGAGAGGGCGGAGGGGGGGGGGGGCGCATGCTGGGTATATGTGTGGAAGGAGGAACTTGTGGGGCACGGGGAATGGCGGAAAGGAAGAGAGTGGGGGGAGAGGGGCCGGGAGGGGGGGGGGAGGTGGGAGGGGGAGGGGGGGGAGTGGGAGGGGTGCGGGGGGGGGTAGTTGGGGGTCCCAGTGGGCCCCTCGGTGGCCCCCGGTGAGAAAGGGGAGTACGTAAGCTAAAGCAGTGATACATAGAGAGATGATGCCTATGTGAGCGTACACATCAGTTGAGGGAGTGTGAGATCGATAGACTCAATAAGAATGTGCAAAGTAGACGAGGAGGACGCTCGAGGTAGTTAAGATAGTAGCCCCCTAACTAGTAGTAGTTGTTGTAGCTGTAGTTGTTGTAGTTGTAGTTCTAGTTGTTGTGTAGTTGTAGTTGTAGTTGTAGTTGTAGTAGTAGTAGTAGTTGTTGTTGTTGTTGCTGCTGTTGTTGTTGTTGTAGTTGTTGTTGTAGTTGTAGTTGTTGTGTAGTTGTTGTAGTTGTAGTTGCTGTAGTTGTAGTTGTTGTGGTTGGTGTTGTTGTTGTTGTTGTTGCTGTTGCTGTTGTCGTCGAAGTTAGGGTAGTTAAGTTAGTGAAGTTAGTTAAGTTAGTCAAGTTAGTTAAGTTAATCAGTGCCTACTTTTTCGACATCTTCACGTCAAAAAAGACTCAAAACCCTCAGTTGTTTACACTTTTGACTTCGAAATGTGCTTCGCGCCACAACGGCGTGCACTTTTTCGACACTTTTTCGACATCTGAACCTCCAAAAGTGGTCCGAGAATGGTGTGTTTTGTACATTTTGACTTGGAAATGTGCTTCGCGCCACACGGCGTGCACTTTTTCGACATCTCAACTTCCAAACGTGGTCCGAGAATGGTGTGTTTTGTACATTTTGACTTGGAAATGTGCTTCGCGCCACAACGGCGTGCACTTTTTCGACATGCAACTTCCAAAAGTGGTCCGACCATGTGTGTTTTACATTTTGACTTCAAAATGTGCTTCGCGCCACAACAGCGTGCACTTTTTCGACATCTCAACTTCCAAAAGTGGTCCGAGAATGGTGTGTTTTGTACATTTTGACTTGGAAATGTGCTTCGCGCCACAACGGCGTGCACTTTTTCGACATCTCAACTTCCAAAAGTGGTCCGACATGGTGTGTTTTGTACATTTTGACTTCAAAATGTGCTTCGCGCCACAACGGCGTGCACTTTTTCGACATCGCAACTTCCAAAAGTGGTCCGCTCCTCTAGTGTTTTGTCCATTTTGACTTGGAAATGTGCTTCGCGCCACAACGGCGTGCAACTTTTCATGTCTCATCTGGCCAGCTGGCTCCGCACCCGCCGCTTTAGCGAGCCTACTTTTCGACCCTCCGGAGCCACAAATCATTGGAAAAACACAGTGAATCGCGACTTTCCTATCTTTTCGCGCATCTACCTCTTCTTTCTTCTGATCTTTTCTCTTCTGACTCTTTTCACCTCTGCTTTTCAACTGTCCATATTGTCGGAAGTTTAGCTTCTAAACTTCCGTCGACAAATATGTCATACCTATTTACCCGCGACATACATATCACATATACATATAAGCGTGCAAATACGGTGAATACACGAACCTGCCTCTCACCCATCTACCTATCGCTCTAACTATCTATCTCTCTCTCTATCTATCTCTCTGTCTCTCTATCTCTCTATCGCTCTATCGCTCTATCTATCTATCTATCTACCTATCTATCTACCTACCTATCTATCAATCAAGCAATCAGCCAATCTATCTATCTACGTATCTATCTATCTCTATCTTTTTATCTACCTATCTATCTTTTTATCTGCCTATGTATCTTTTTATCTACCTATCTATCTTTTTACCTACCTATCTATCTTTTTATCTACCTATCTATCTTTTTACCTACCTATCTATCTTTTTATCTACCTATCTATCTATCTATCTACCTATCTATCTTTTTATCTACCTATCTATCTTTCTATCTACCTATCTATCTTTTTATCTACCTATCTATCTATCTATCTATCTATCTATGACACACACAAAAGGGATTACCAACCCAAAATAGGACTAAGGATGGGGGATTCACTGCATCACAACAGCGAGGTGCCAACCATGATCTCCGTGGAGGAAGGCCCCTGGGTTCTGTGGGAGGCGGGTCATCACAATGAGACCACCCACGAGCCACCAATGAGGGCTTCAAGGGTTTCAATGGGCTTGAAAGGGCGGGAACCAGTGATGACAACAATCCGGGTGCTCACCAAAAGTGATACAATGCCAAACTTACCCGCTTGTAATTGCGGAGAGATGAACATCAGCAATGCAAGGTTTGATTCTTGGAAGATAATGTGAGTTTATAATGCAAGAAGTAACATGTTTTAAAATGACCAAACCATGGGGCAAAAGCATGGTTGCGTTGATACTCGTGCCCACTCTCAGATACTCGTTGAATCACCAAAACAAACTTGTTGTCTGCAATGCTAAGCAATTCATTCAGTTAAGTACCAGGAAGAACTGATATGCACTATGGCAATGCCTGCGCCCGCTTGCGCATGGCCCTCTGCGGATCCAACTCGCCGGCCGCCGGATCCAAGCCCTGCAGGCGGGAACCGAAACGGATGGGTCAGAATGTCAGAAGCCGCGGTGATCACACAAAGTAAAGTAATTACTGCCTTCCTGTTTGACCAACTGCGAAACATGGACCACCTGCAGAAGTTGGGATTGAGCAGGACTAACCAGCAATATCACCTGGCGCTTGTATTGGCTTGTCGCCAAACGGGCAACAAATTTACAGTCATCAAATCCCAGGGAAAATTGTCTTTGAAGCTATGGAAAGCAGTACCGGAAAGGATTGGAGCGGAAGCAAAACGACATGTCTGTATGCATGCATGTATGGGTGTATGGACGGACGGATGGATGCGTGGATGCATGCATGCCATGCATGCCATGCATGCATGCATACGTGCATACGTGCATACGTGGATACACATCGCGAATTAACCATTAAACACCGCAAATGAGGGTTATTCCACAATAATAAGGGCGTGGCGTATATGGATTAATCAATTCGCTCCTTATATTATCCCATTGGTAAACCCCAAGAACAATTACAAGCCACATATTATAGTTTTTCCTTAATGAATGGAAATAATCATGATATATGGTTAACCATGGGTTAAAATGTAAAAAATAATTATAGGCCACAAACCCTTTACAATGATAACACGTAGCATACATGGGTTAAAAAATATCAGGTTATAAAACCATAGAATCATTATAGAACCTGATAAAGTTTTTTGAACATAGCTATCCATTATGGTGGTTTTTTGAACATGATAATGGTTCCATCAGGTTAGCTATCCATTATAGAACCATCAAAAAGCACATCCACCACCATCCACCATGGCGCCTCTGGAAAAGCGTCCCAGGGCAGCTGCAGCGCAGGACTTTCAACGCGGGGCTGCTGCTCCACCAGCTCATGCACCTGTGACGTGGAACGGTGAGCACGAAAACTGGTTTTAATGAGTCTTAATGGGGTGATATACTGGGCAAACATGGGGGGCAATGCGAGATAATGGGGTATTATGGGATAATCTAAAGTTTAAAGGAATATAACTGAAACAATGAGGCGTCTTCAGCCTGCGACATTATAATGGGGTATAGTGTATACGGGTATGTTGGGGCATGAGCATCTAGTGGGTGAACACTTCAACCCGCAGGACTGTGGGTCCATCTCTGAGGCCTAAGCTAGGAGCCTGCAATGTTTCCTTAGAACTAGGTGGCTATACTTTCGTTGGCTGATGATTGACAATTTTTGGACATAGAAGGCAGAAGAAACCATCCATGGGGGACTCCATCGTTGGAAGAGGCTACCTGA